TTTTGCAAGAAAAACAAAACAGCATTCAAACCAAACTAACGTCACAAAATTAAACGGAAGTCAGTGATAAAACAACATAAAATAGGAAGCATATTAAAGCCACTAAATTACAGGATATGAAAAAAATGGGTAAACAAATTTACTCTGGTAGCTAAATGACAGAGCCAGACAAAATTATCTGGCGAGGAAATGCCACATAGGCCAACAACATGAGACAGACAATGTTTGAGCTGCTTTTATGAGAGCAAATGGGGTAAAGTTCACCATGACAAGGCTTAGTGCCTTCATAAAATCAATTGATTAAACAACTTTGTTGTTGTTGTTGTTCAGTCGCACAGTCGAGTCCGACTCTTCACGACCCCATGGACCACCCCATGGACCAGATCACGCCAGGCCTTCCGGTCTTCTGCCGTCCTCTGAAGTTTGCTCAACTTCATGTTCGTGCATTTATGACACTGTCTAACCATCTCATCCTTTGCCGTCCCCGTCTTCTTTGACCTTCAATCTTTCCCAGCATCAGGGTCTTCTCCAGTGAGTGCTCCCTTCTCATTGGTGGCCAAAGTATTTGAGCTTCAGTTTCATTATCTGGCCTTCCAGGGAACAGTCAGGGTTGATTTCTTTGAGGATTGACTGATTTGTTCTTCTTGCAGTCCAAGGGACTCTCAAGAGTCTTCTCCAGCACCATAGTTCAAAAGAATCTATTCTTCGGCGCTCGGCCTTCCTTATAGTCCAACTCTCGCAGCCATACATGACTACTGGGAATACCATTGCTTTGACCATGCGGACTTTTGTTGGCAGGGTGATGTCTCTAATTTTTATCATGCTGTTTAGGTTTGCCATCACTTTCCTCCCAAGGAGCAGCTGTCTTTTAATTTCATGGCTGCTGTCACAGTCTGCAGTGATCTGGGATCCCAGGAACGTGAAGTCTGTCACTACTTCCACGACTTCCCCTTCTATTTGCCAAGAAGTGATGGGGCCGGATGCCATGATCTTAGTTTTTTTGATGTTGAGTTTCAAGCCCACTTTTGCGCTCTCCTCTTTTACCCAGAGCAAGAAGCTCTTTAAGTCCTCTTCACTTTCTGCCATTAGAGTGGTATCGTCTGCATATCTGAGGTTGTTGATCTTTTCCCCAGCAATCATCTAGGCCAGCATTTCGCATGATGTACTCTGCATATATATTAAATAAGCAAGGCGACAATATACATCCTTGTCGTACTCCTTTTCCTATGCGAAACCAATCAGTTGTTCCATATCCGGTTCTAACTGTCGCTTCTTGGCCCTTATACAGGTTTCTCAAGAGACATGTGAGGTGGTCTGGTACTCCCATCTCTTTAAGGACCTGCCATAGTTTGTTGTGATCCACACAGTCAAAGGCTTTAGCATAGTCAATGAAGCAGAAGTAGATATTTTTCTGGTACTCTCTTGCTTTCTCCATAATCCAGCGAATGTTGGCAATTTGATCTCTAGTTCCTCTACCTCTTCGAAACCCAGCTTGTACTTCTGGCAGTTCTCTATCCACGTACTGTTGAAGCCTAGCTTGTAGGATCTTGAGCATGACCTTGCTAGCATGTGATATGAGTGCAATTGTGCGATAGTTTGAACATTCCTTGGCATTGCCCTTCTTTGGGATTGGAATGTATACTGACCTTTTCCAATCCTGTGGCCACTGTTGCGTTATCCAAATTTGCTGGCAAATGGAGTGCAGAACTTTAACAGCATCATCTTCTAAGACTTTGAATAGTTCAGCTGGAATACCATCACCTCCACTAGCTTTGTTGTTACTAATGCTTTCTAAGGCCCATTTAACTTCACATTCCAGGATGTCTGGCTCGAGGTCAGTGATTATACCGTCGTGGTTGTCAAGGACATCGAGGTCTTTCTTGTATAGTTCTTCTGTGTATTCTTGCCATCTTTTCCTAATCTCTTCTGCTTCTGTTAGGTCCCTACCGTTTTTGTCCTTTATCATGGCCAGCTTTGCATGGAACGCTCCCTTGATTTCTCCAACTTTCTTGAAGAGATCTCTAGTCCTTCCCATTCTATTGTTTTCTTCTATTACTTTGCACTGTTCATTCAGGAAGGCCTCCTTATCTCTCCTTGCTGTTCTCTGGAAATCTGCGTTCAGTTGGGTAAATCTTTCCTTTTCGCCTTTGCCTTTCGCTTTCCTTCTTTCCTCTGCTATTTGTAAAGCCTCATCAGAAAGCCACTTTGCTTTCTTACATTTCTTTTTCTTTGGGATGGTGGTGATTGCTGCCTCCTGTACAATGTCACGAACCTCCGTCCATAGTTCTTCAGGCACTCTATCTATCAAATCCAGACCCTTGAATCTATTCTTCACCTCTACTGTATATTCATCAGGGATGCGATCTAGGTCAAACCTGAATGGCCTCGTGGTTTTCCCAATTTTCTTCAGTTTAAGTCTGAATTTTGCAATGAGTAGCTCATGATCTGAACCACAGTCAGCTCCAGGTCTTGTTTTTACTGACTGGATAGAGCTTCTCCATCTTTGACTGCAAATTATATAGTCAATCTGATTTCGGTGTTGCCCATCTGGTGATGTCCATGTGTAGAGTCGCCTCTTAGGTTGTTGGAAAAGGGTGTTCGCTATGACCAGTGTGTTCTCTTGACAAAACTCTGTTAACCTTTGCCCTGCTTCATTTTGCTTTCCAAGGCCAAACTTGTCTGTTATTCCAGTTACCTTTTCACTTCCTACTTTAGCATTCCAGTCCCCTATGATGATGAGGACATCATTTTTTGGTGTTAGTTCTAGGAGGTGTTGTAGGTCTTCATAGAACCGGTCCACTTCAGCCTCTTCTGCATCAGTGGTTGGGGCATACACTTGAATTACTGTGATGTTGAATGGTTTGCCTTGGAATCGGACAGAAATCATTCTGTCATTTTTGAGATTGTATCCCAGTACTGCCTTTTGCACTCTCTTGTTGACTATAAAGGCCACACCATTTTTTCTACGAGATTCCTGGCCACAGTAGTAGATATAATGGTCTTCTGAGTTAAATTCGCCCATTCCTGTCCACTTTAGTTCACTGATTCCTAGGATATCGATGTTCAGTCTTGCCATCTCATTTTTGACCACGTCAAGCTTACCTTGATTCATAGATCTTACATTCCAGGTTCCTATGCAGTATTGTTCTTTGCAGCATCGGACTTTCCTTTCACCATCAGACACATCCACAACTGAGCGTCCTTTCGGCTTTGGCCCAGCCGCTTCACTCTTTCTGGGGTTACTTGTACTTGTCCTCTGCTCTTCCTCAGTAGCATATTGGACACCTTCCGACCTGAGGGGCTCATCTTCCGGCGTCATATCTTTTAGCCTTTTGATACTGTCCATGGGGTTTTCTTGGCAAAAATACTGGAGTGGGTTGCCATTTCCTTCTCCAGGTGGATCACGCTTGGTCTGAGTTCTCTGCTGTGGTGAGAAACAGGCAGAGAGAAGTCATGCAAGCCATGCCCAAGACAGAATATATTTAACCACATCTATCCAGGAAGAAGGGAGAAGCAGGAATAGCCATACCACATGGTCTGTGTTAAGTGCTGTGAAGTCACTTCTGACTTAATGGCAACCCTACGAATTAATGACTTCCAAAATGTCCTATTATTAACAGCCTTGCTCAGTTCTTGCAAACTGAGGTCTTTGGCTGCCTTGATCGAATCAATCCATCTCATGTCAGATATTCTTTTCCTTCTGCCGTCAACTTTTCCTAGCATGATTGTCTTTTCCAGTGACTCTTATCTTCTCGTAATGTGACAAAAGTACAATTGTCTCAGTTTAGTCATGTTAGCTTCCAGGGAGAGTTCAGGCTTGATTTGAATCTAGAACCCACTTATTTGTCTTTTTGGCACTCCATGGTAGCTGTAAAAATCCTCCTCCAACACGACATTTCAAATGAAACAACTTTGGAGCAACTGCATGTAACTACTGAACTACCTGGTTGCCAGAGATGCATAAAAGGATGATGTCTGTACTGATGGTTGTATGGCCCAACTTCGGAGTGGGGGAGGGAAGGAAAACCAGAGGGAGGGGACTGTTGCTTGCTACAGTGGGCGTTCTTTTAAATTGTGCCCCAAGGCAGCCATGTTTTGGTAGTATCCAGCTTTCTCCCCCCCACACACAAAAGGGATCACCAAAATGTGGCTTTCAACATGCACCCAAAAATATTGTCAAGACCTTTTTTTAGTTTAGGTAGTTTAGCAGCTGGCATTATACAACTGATCAGGTTTCACTTCGTTATATCCCATTATAGCTCCTGGTATGTCCCCCAAAGAGCACTGTGCTCAATGGATTATAATCTCCTAGTGATCCCTGCCCAAAAAGCATTTGTTTAGCCTCAACCCGAGCCAGAGCGTTTTCGGCTCTGGCCTTGTGGAACACTCTACCAGACGAGATTTGGGCCCTGTGGAATTTAATGCAGTTCCGCAGGGCTTGCAAGACAAAAATGTTTTGCCAGGCCCATGGTTGAGGCAATGAGGTTAACATCTGAATTGGCCTCCCCCAGCCCTTTTCTCCGCCATCTATCCTGTCAATTGCACCAGCTTATAATCCACTGACACACAGGCTCACTTTGGACAAGTTATACTACCTTGTCCTTGTATGTGCCGTCTGATTTGATTTTTTTTTAATATACTGTTGTGATTATTGTTTTAATAATTAATGTATAGTATTTTTTTAACAATGGTGTTACCCGCCCTGAGCCCTGCTGTGCAAGGGCGGGCGGGCTATGAGTCAAATATAATAAACAGACAAACAAACATCTTTTTTCCTGTCACCTTTCTTCACTGTCCAACCTCCACACCCATACAGTAATGAGGAACACTCTAGTATGAATTATTTCGACCTTGGTCATCAGTGACATATCCTTACACTTATGAATCTTTTCTAGTTCCCCAGTCTCAATCTCCTTCTGATTTCTTGGTTGCGTATCACATGGTAGGGTTCCCCAATGTGGGCACCTGCCATGTGCTTTAAAAAAGTAGGCAGGGCCATTATGAAGGCCAGAACCAATGACTGGTTGCCTTTATAAAAATAAAGGACCTTTTCCTCCCCATCGCTCACTGGAGAAGGACCCTGTAAACAAGACCCATGGATCAGCTGTGAGGCGCTGGGGAGAATTAGAGGACCCCTATTCCCCAATTCCCGTCTTCTCTCTGTGTGTTTTATCTGCCCTTTCCCCGACTGGTCATCTTCTTCTCAGTGTGCGTGTGTGGTACCCCCATCCCAGCATCTTCTGTCTGTGCATATTCCTTAACCCCCTTCTCTTTTCTGTGCATTTGTGCTTGGCTCTGCCTCCTGTGACAGCCATTTTGCAACAGGCACACCGCCCTGCTTCAAAGTTCCAAAGTTCCCCACAGGCTCAAAAATGTTGAGCACTCCTGTCACATGGTATAGATTAGCATGAGAGGAGATGCATCTCCATCTAGGAATTTTATTGCCTTTATAATATTCTTGGCGAGATAAATGGATAGTCGTTTCCTTACTAGGATTACCTCTAGCAAAAAGGAAGAAATATTTAGTTCCTCTGGATTTCTCAACCATAAACCTCTTTCTTTGTATACCGTAACTGCCAAAAGGTCAAGTGCAATCCAAGGCACACAGTCAAATGGTCCATTTTATGTACACTTCCTGGGCACAAATTCTAGTAACTCACATTTCTGTCACACATAAAGAATGGGGGCGGATTCAAGAGAGAGAGTGTCTACTTACTTTTCATCATTTGCAAATTTAATTCCACTAGAGGTGATCGGGTCAAGGAAAAACCAATCAAATCCTGGGAAGTATCTATATATCTGAAGAAAAACATTTACAGGTATGTGAGCAATAGGGTATAATCATCTAGAAAAAGAGTCACTCTATTTCTAAATAAATATTATTGAAAAATAAGTTGCAGCCACATACGGATTCAAAATAAATGTGCACTGCCAGCAACATTTCTGCAAGACTTTGCTTTGCACAGGCTGTTTTGTAGATATAAATCTAAAACTTTCTTTGCTCTTTTGTGAATTATTTAACAACTGGATTCTCTAAAACAAGTATGTGTGTGCACAGTAGCCTACTTCTTTACAGGAGGAAAAAAGCTCTCAAGATCACCCCCCTTACACCACCACTTTCTTGTCTGTAGCGGTTTATAATATGAAAACAGTAGAGAAATTGCGAGTAAGCACCCCGCCCCCAGAAATTACTCACGAACTTTGCTCCAGTGATGAAGGAAGGAAGGGGCAATTGGACAGAGGACTGAAATGACTCATTGCTCCTCATGGATTTTCCTCCAATTGTTTAATTTCTGACAAGTAAGGCCACTACATCAAAACTAAGCCACCTTCTTCCTTAGATGGACTTGTTTGGGGACAGAGGAGAATGACTGTTTGTTTGTTTTTTTAGCCTATTTCTGAGGTAGGACAACAGATTTTGTTTGCAAGAAGGGGCTGAATCCTGTTTACTGCTCTCTCCCCTGACCTCTTTCCAGTGAGAAGGGGTAATGTACTATGGGGAAAGCGAGACCAAGAAGCTGGCTTACCTTTCCCACAATCAGCCCAGAAGTGGAGCAAACAGTAACTCCACATGAGATTTAGTGTGAAGGGAACTGGCTCTTCTCAGGATAAGCATAAGAACTAAGTACTGTTTCACTCAATGGGATTTATTTTCCAACAGGGGTGGAATTCAGGACGGATGTGGAATTCAGGATACTGATTACACTCTGGCCTCCTTGGCATGGTCAGGAATCACCTACTGGCAGGAATCCAAGGTGCAGCTTGCAACATCCTATGAATTCCAACCATTGCCCAATACATCAGAATTATTATGTCCTGCCTGCCTCATTGTAGGCAAGCAGGACACATTTACAGTGCTTTAGCACTTCAACTAAGATTTGGTGGGCTGGGTGGTAAATGTAATGGCCTACCTCTGCCCATCTTCAGCACTAATACTTTTCATTTATTTGTACATGCCTTCCTTAATAGTTTGTAAATGGGAAATAATTTTGAATTATCTTTCCTTGGGCTATCAGAAATAGTGGACAGCAATACTTCTGCAGACTGTCCCTTATAAACAGTATTCCTTGAAAATGAGAACCAGCTAAGAATACTATACAGATCTGGAAAATGCAACATTTCAAAAGTCTTGTTGAACAGCTTGCTCATGGGCTAGCAACTTTAGATGCACTAGAATTCTTGATTCAGCATGTGAATATGAGTTATTCATGTAAGTCAGACATGGAAGGCAGATTCCAGCAGACAAATCTCTACTTGCCACTGAAAAGGGATGGCTTCTTGCTTCCTCACGTATATTTGTAAAAGGGGACTCTAGTATCAGAGCATCTGGAGGAGTTTCTGAAAAACAAAATTAAGCAGACTATAATGCTGTCTATGACAGGCAGACGTCTCTGTGCTAGCTCCAATAAATTGGATGGAGATTTCAAATTAGCGGTGCTTGGTGACATGCACCCAAACTCCATATTTGCACAACTCAGAGTAAGCAACCAGACCTATATGAACATTTGAAAACTGAAAAAACATGCATGTGCCCAAATTTTAACACCAATAATCAATTAATTTAATAATAGACATATAAAGTACTCAGAACAAATTTTCCATAAACAACACTGGAAAAGTTGAATATAGGTAGAAATTCACAGGTGGAGTTTTTCCACAAACTATTTGTAATAAATTCAAAAAAGTCCTTGATCTGTAAGGATGTAGTAGTGTTTCTGCCAGCTGACTCCACGGACCCTGGGTTCTAAATCTGTTTCAATACTTTTTTTCAAGAATCATGCTAGATTCAACATTTCAAAGGTACATGTAGACATCCATAAAGCATATTCAAATACAGCAATCCTCAGTGATTCCTTGATAAATATAAAAGTGTATACTCCACTCATCTGGATTTGATTTTGTAGATTTGAATTGCTATCAGAGCTGGATCATATGAAGGTATTTTCTTAGAACCTGACACAAAATAGTTGATAGCACTTTCTCATTTACTTTGAAAACTTCTAAGCCAGGGGTGTCGAACTCATTTGTTATGAGGGCCAGATCTGACATAAATGAGACCTTGATGGGCCGGGCCATGTGTGTCATAAAATGTAATGCCAGGTAGCGGAGATATAAACTTTATAAAGGACACAAACACAGAGGGTTTTTTTTAACTTAAAACATGCTTAAAACATTAGCACTCTTGCAATATTTTGCTTATTTAACAGTGTCTGATAACTGACACCTCTTGCTCTGAATTATTGCATCAAAATGTCTGTGCTGTTGCAATCTTGAGTATGCTGTTCAGGTGTGTATCTGTAAGCTGCAAACCTATGATGATGCAGCAGCAGCAGAACTGGACAAAGAAGCAAAAGACAGCCAGTTCCACTGCGGGCCTGATAGAAACCCTCTGGGGGCCTGATCCGGCCACCGGGCTGCATGTTTGACACCTCTGTTCTAAGCAGCTAACCTAGCCTCAGAGGTTGCTCCCCATATAAAGCTTATAAAAACCTACAAGCTTAACACATATAATGTTTCTTTTGGGAAAACATCACAGTTGAAAAGCCAAAGAGGTATCACTGCAAACTCTTACCACTGCTTTGAAAAACACTAACAAATGAAATACTCCGATTTTGCCAAATTTCTTACCTCTTTCGCAGAGACGCCTCACTAGGTTGGTTGCAACTCTAAAAAGACAGAAAACATTAACCTAGAGTTAAGAATTATTATAGAGTTATAACATTTATACCCTTAAATGATCTTACATTCCCATTTGGAATAAGCATAAGAACTAAGAACTAAGTACTGTTTCACTCAATGGGATTTATTTTCCAACAGGGGTGGAATTCAGGACGGACGTGGAATTCAGGATGGATTGCAACCTAAGTGGCAGGTATTGCTGCTGTGCCATCAATCCACCCAAGCCTGCAGCAGAAATCGGGGAGGGGGGGAGAGAGCCCATGGGCAAGTGAAGAAGAGAGCCTCAGCTACTACAGGAGAGGGAGAGCTGGCGGGCTGGCACGATTAATACTTGAGGAATGTGCACTCTGTGCTACAGTAGCAGCAGGCCTCACCTGCCTGCTACTGCAGCAGAGACCACATACTTGCCGAGTATTATTTGCATCAGCTGTCTGGCTCTTCTCCTGTAGCAGCCAAGGTGAACGAGTACAGCCGGCAGGGAAGGGCAGGGGCTGTGGGAGTTGTGGGGTGTGGGCCATGAGTGAGGGGGCATCACCCCTAAATGCCCCACTGCGGCTACGGGCCTGAATTTCAACCAACAGATGAACAGGTTGGATTTAAAAACCATGAACCAAAGGGAAGTAGCTGCTAGAGCTATTCTACAAATGCTTCCACAAGTGTTTATGCACCATTGTAATGATCAGGCCTATAGGTGTTCTTGTTCTTCTGCTTATGAAAGAGGCTGAACAGCTTCTTGCCCAAGCAAAATCCTCTCTCGGGGAGGGGGGGGTCATTTAACTTTTTTTGCATGATGTTATGACAATTTTGCCCTCCCTCACAGGATTCCCGTTTTACTTGTTCTTAGCTGGGCAGCCCCTTTTTTTCTTTCTTCTCTGTTTTTCTCTGGCTGTTCCACTCAGTCAATTAAATATATACTGATAAAGGCTGACCCAACCTAGGGAACTGAGAGACTAAAATCCTTCTTTTGTCCTTGTTTTATGATGGCACATAAGAGGCTGATGGTAAATCAGAGCTAACGAACTATTTTATTCCACTTTGAGGGGAAATTGTCATGTAGGAATCAAGTTTAGGACTTATGAGGTGCACAGGCAACAGGAATTAGGTAATTTTGTATACAAATAAACACTAGATAATTTGTCACAAACAAGTAACTGTTTCTGTTATTCAGACAGGTCTTTAAAACTTGAAGGGGGAGATTTCTTGGCAGTCTCTGATTACATAAAGGAGCATAAGCTTCTTGGTGTCACAGACACTAAACTTGGTGAAGTTCCAGTTTCCTTATCCACTGGCTATGGACTACCCCTTTTCACTAGGAGCTATTTCCCTCAGTCTTGATAGATATGGGCTACGTGTCCCACTTCCCTAATTCAGGATCCTTCTTGGCCCTCTCACAGTCTGCTTTACTCTCTCACAGTTAACTGCCAACTCCCAACCCAACTGAAGAATTCCATAGTCAAGATTCTCAAACTGGGTGACAGCATTAATCATTTACTGTCCATCACAAATGTTCTGTGAAGAGCAAAAATGGTCCTCCTGGCAGTGGAAAACACCTTCTACCTGCTGAAGAGCAGCTTTAGGTCTCTAACCTGTTATTTTTATTTAGTGCCTCTTATTCTCCATTTAAAAGAAAAAACAGGTTGCTTACCTGTAACTGATGATCTTCGAGTGGTCATCTGTGCAGTACCACACATGGGTTGGGCGCCTGTGCACGACCTCGAGCGAAGAAACTTCTAGAGCTTTGCCTCAGAAAACTTTTGGCAGGCTCTCTTCCCGCCCTGGGGAGCAGGCACGTACTGCGCATGCATGGAGTGGGGGAGAGAGCCGCCTCCCACTCAGTTCCTTCAACCGCTACCAGTAAGTCCCATCAAGCAAAGGAAAGGTGAATAGGAGATGCCAGCAGTGGGGAAGGCTGGGTGGGATTGTGGTACTGCACAGATGACCACTTGAAGATCATCAGTTACAGGTAAGCAACCTGTTTATCTTCGTCGTAGTCTCTGTGCAGTCCCACACATGGGTGATTACAAGAGCTGAACCAGTTGGAGGAGGGAGCTGGCAGCTGCAAGAGACACAAAGAATACTGGTTAAGACACAGCATCATCAGCGGGAAGAAACACTTACTGGTCCTACCTGGAGACGCAGAAGAGAGATTGCAGCACCGACTGGCCGAATGCAGCATCCCATCGAGCTTGGACGTCGAGTGCTTAGTGGGTCACGAAGGTTGATGCTGAGGACCACGTAGCAGCCACACAAACGTCCTCCAACAGGACACCAGCCAGGAAAATGGTGGATGTCGATACCGCCCGTGTAGAATGGACAGTGACAGAGGTAAGAACGGGTTGACGTGCAAGCTCATAGCAAAGGGCTATGGTGGACGTCACCCACTTAGACAAGCGTTGAGAGGAAATCGGATCCCCGACATGAGGGGGCCCAAAGGCAAGGAACAGCCGAGGAGATTTATGTATGGGCGGAGTCCTATGTAAATAAAAGGAGAGCGCTCTGCACACATCGAGGCAGTGGAGGGCTCTCTGAGGTGTATCAGTCAAATTTGGAAAGAATGAAGGTAAGACAGATGACTGGGAGATTTGAAAAGCAGAAACAACTTTAGGCAGGAAAGAAGGATCTGGTCTAAGGACAACCTTCTGTTTATGGACAATTGTATAGGGGGGATGAGCCTACTCTGTGCACAGTAGTAATTGCTACAAGGAAGGCAGTTTTCCAGGAGTGCAACCTGAACTCGGCCGTGGCCATGGGCTCAAATGGCTTAGACATCAGTTGAGTGAGAACGAGAGACTCCACGAAGGCACTTCCTAGGGGGACAGTGGTGGAGGAGGCCTTTGAGGAACGACTTTGTAAGACGGTGGGAAAAAACTGTGGATCCCTGTATCAAGGGATGGTAGGCCGAGATGGCCGCTAAATGAACCTTTAAAGACGAGCATGCAAGGCCAGTATTCTTTAACGAGACGAGATAGGAAAAAATCTCACAGAGAGATGACTGGAGAGGATCAAAGGACTGAGCAGAGGCATACGACTGGAACCTCTCCCACTTCAGAGCGTTAAGTGGCACAGGTAGATGGCTTCTTGGCATTCAGAAGGACTTCGGACACTTCAGGCAAGAAGTCTAGTGCAGGATCTTCCAGGCCATCAATTGAAAAAAAACGGGATCGGGGTGGAGGATCCTTCCTCGAGCCCGAGAGAGGAGATCTGGGACGACAGGGAAAGTCCGGAATGTCCGGTTGGAGAGCCGAAGGAGGTGAGGAAACCAGATTTGGCGCGGCCACCATGAAATGACTAGGATGCAGGATGTGGCATCGGTCATAATCTTCTGAACGACCCGGGAGATCAAGGGGAATGGAGGGAAGAAGTAAAAGAGGGTTCCCCCTCCAGGTGTGGAGAAAGGCATCTCCCAGGGACCAAGTGGATGATGGACCATGGCTGAAAAAGAGGCAACACCAGGCATTGTGTGCAGTTGCAAAGCCATCTACGACAGGGCGACCGAACTCGAGAAAGACAGGTTTCAGGTATCGAAGGTGGATGGACCATTCGTTGTCCAAAAAGTGGGAGCAACTCAACCGATCGGCATCAATGTTTTTGATGGAATGGCGGATGCAGCACTGCCAGAGACCGATACCTGCCTGGCAAAGACAGAGGCAGTCCCACCCTGTTTGTTTATGTAATAAACGGTGGTGGTGTTGTCGGAAGCAACCCGAACAACTTGGCCTCGAAGGAGAGCGAGAAAGGAGCGGAGAGCGAGATGAACGGCATGCAGCTCCAGGATACTGATATGAAGGGCGGCTTCGCAAGGAGACCAGGTCCCTTGTGCTGAAAGGATTCCACACTGGGCTCCCCAACCCCAGAGGGATGGATCGGTGGAGATCAACACTTGCAGAGGAGGATGCCGAAAGGGCATGCCAGAGTGCAGGTGCTAAGGATGAGACCACCAGGCAAGAGAGTCGACGACTAGGGGTGGGATCGACAGGATTTTGTGCCACGGACTGCGGAGAGGGTTGAAGGCACAGAGAAGCCACAGTTGGAGGGGGCGCATCCTCAACCTGGCATGACGGACTACAAAGACGCAAAGTGACCCAGGAGCCTCATGACGGACTGAGCGGACTGTCGGGGAGAGGTCTGGAACTGGGAGGCCAAGGCAAGTATGTCAGAGGCCCTCGAGTTCGGGAGAAACTCTTGGAGGAGCTGGTCTTGGGTGGAGGCAACGAGAAGCCAGTCATCAATATAGAGATACAGGGCAATCCCACGACGATGGAGGTCTGCAGCCACCACAGCCATCAGCTTGGTAAAAACCCTTGGGGCACTGCAGAGTCCGAACGGAAGGACCCGGTATTGATAGTGTGCGTTGCCGACAGCGAAACGCATGAACCTTTGATGCTGTGGACGGATAGTAACATGAAAATATGCATCCAGGAGATCGACAGAGGCGAACCATGCAGCCTGGGGAATCAGTGGAAGAATAGATTGTAGAGTGACCATTCGGAACTTATGGCATCGAATGTATCGATTCAGATCACGAAGATCCATAATGGCCCTGAAGCCGCCATCCCTCTTCGGTACGAGGAAATACTTGGAGTAAAAGCCTAGGGTTCGTTGCGCTTCCAGGACGACCTCGATGGTGCCTTTGGCTAGAAGCGCAAAATTTCGGAATCGAGGAGAGGATCCGGGGGGAGGGGGTGACGACATAATGAGGTAGGTCGGGAGGCGAAACAAACTGTATGGCGTACCCGACCCGTAAGATGGTAAGGACCCAGATATCAGTTGAAATTTCTTCCCACGTTCGTAGAAAAGGGAAGAGTCGGGTCCGGATGGGAGGAGTGTAAGATGGAGGAGATGGCAGGCGATCGAAGCTGTCAAATGGACTGCTTGGGCTGCTGGGATTTTTTAGGGGCCTGTTGGCGCACCCTATTCGAGTAACGGGAGTCATAGGGCCTCTTTCTCCAATGGGAGGTGGGCGCAGGAGACGGCTGGCATCTGGCAT